CATTATTAGTGAGGCTGTACCCCAGTATGGAACATTGTCATTATTAGGACTTTGGTTCGACCACATTTGGAATACTGTGTACAGTTCTGGCCGCCACATTACCAAAAGGATGTGGATGCTTTGGAAAGGGTGCAGAGGAGGTTTACCAGGATGTTGCCTGGTATGGAGGGCGCTAGCTATGAAGAGAGGTTGAGTAGATTAGGATTATTTACATTAGAAAGACGGAGGTTGAGGGGGGACCTGATTAATGTCTACAAAATCATGAGAGGTATAGACAGGGTGGATAGCAAGAAGCTTTTTCCTAGAGTGGGGGACTCAATTACTAGGGGTCACGATTTCAAGGTGAGAGGGAAAAAGTTTAAGCGAGATATGCGTGGAAAGTTCTTTACGCAGAGGGTGGTGGGTGCCTGGAACGCATTGCCAGCGAAGGTGGTAGAGGTGGGCACGATAGCGTCATTTAAGATGTATCTAGACAGAGACATGAATGGGCAGGGAGCAGAGGGATACAGATCCTTGGAAAGTAGGCGACAGGTTTAGATAGAGGATCTGGATCGGCGCAGGCTTGGAGGGCCGAAGGGCCTGTTCCTGTGCTGTAATTTTCTTTGTTCTTTGTTCTTTAGTGAGGCTGTACTCCAGTATGGAATATTGTCATTATTAGTGAGACTGTATCCCAGTACGGCATATTGTCATTATTAGCGAGACTATACCCCAGTATGGAACATTGTCATTATTAGCGAGACTATACCCCAGTATGGAACATTGTCATTATTAGTGAGACTGTACTCCAGTATGGAATATTGCCATTATGAGTGAGACTGTATTCCAGTATGAAACATTGTCATTATTAGTGAGACAGTACCCCAGTATGGAACATTGTGATTATTTACAGATGTGGTACCAAGTATGAAATATTGTCACTTTCATTATCAATGAGGCTCTTCCCCATTATGGACAATTGTCATTAGTGAGGCTGTTTCCAATATGAAATATTGTTATTATTTCTGAGGATATTCCCCATTATGAAGTATTGTCATTACCAGTTAGGCTGCTCCCTGGTATGAAACACTGACACTATTAGTAAACCTTTAACCTACAATAATATACATACACTCTTTCAGAATCACAGACTTTCTGTAGTACAGAAAGACACTATTCAGCTTGTGTATGGCTGTCCCCAGTATGGAACACAGTCATCCTTAGTCAGATTGTGCCTGAGTATGAAAACTTGCATTATATTGTCATTGGCTGTCTTGGAACCTAACTGGGGGAAGGCAATGCACCAACTCAGCATGTGTTCCCCAGTGAGACTGTATGCCAACATGGGAAACAGTATTGTTATTACCAATGGGGTTGTTTCCAGGTGAAATATTATCATTACCAGTACCAGCATTGTTTCAGCTCTGGAGCTGTTTGAGTCGATACTGTCTGTGGTACAGCAAATGGGGAATGAGAAGCCTTTCTACTGATCAGAACATACACTCATTGAATGTTCTTGGTTATTTAGAATGAAAGCAACCATATCCTATTAAAATGATCTGTGCACAATTTGTGAATTAAGTCAGGTTTTATCACATTTAGTCTCTGCAACAATGCACAGCTCCCATCTGGATCACCCCATGTCAATGTTGGAACATTTCACACTGCTGAAATTACCCCTTTGGGATCTATCTATCATGTTTTGATTGGCCAGTCCCCTGACTGGACAGACTTCATCCCTGCAGACCGATATAAAAGAACTGAATAGAAACATTAACTCTGCTTTCTCTCCACAGATGCTGCCAGAACTGCTGAGTTTCTCCAGCAATTTCTGTGTTTATTTCTGATTTCCATGATCCATAGTTCTTTTTTTTTATAAAAGATCTCACTGTTCTGTCATTCATCAGTCCTCGGAAGCTCAGGAAGTGAATAAATATTTCCCTTTTCAAACAATTAACCTCATATACTAGGTTTGTTACATAGCAGCCATATGAATCAATCGCTTGGTGCCATTTCAGGAGACATTTTTAAATATTAGATCACTTAAATCCTCAAAATACCTTGCCTTTTCAACAACTTGTACTTCTATAGAATAAAAGCAAAATACTGTTGATGCTCTAAATCTGAAACAATCAGAGAATGCTGGAGATACTCAGCAGGTTGGGCAGCATCTGTGGAGAGAGAAGCGGTGTTAATGTTTTGGGACTGGAATGACTGTTCCTCAAAACTTCAGAACAGCATGCCAAATCCCAAATCTTTCAAGCAGGGGATGAGGTGTTACTATCACTGCCATTACAAGATGAATCATTGAAAGCATGATTCAGTGATCCATATAGGGTAATGAGAAAGATTGATGAATTAAGTTGTCCAATTGTCACTCTAGATCACTGGAAAAAGTACTGGCGTGTCGCATCAATATACTGGAGCATTAAAACAGGCACAGTGTGTGCACATGTTTTTTCTGTTTGAAAGAACAGGACACAAATAATTACATTAATATATGTAGCTTCCAGTATGTAGAATGTGCAAAGAATTATGCTGACAACCAGTTTAGGATATTCAGTTGGGGCTCATGATTTGGTGCACTTGGATACTTAGGAAGCTACATATATATTATCCTTGCATCAATGTCCTCACACCCATTCTTGGTTAGGGTGTCACATTTGCCATTCTCCAATCTATTGGCTTCTCCCTGTATATCAGGAAAATTGGAGGATTATGGTAATCCCCGCCTTTAACAGGTTTGGACACAAGCTGGGTGATTTCCTCATTCTGAACATAGCCAGCCTTTCCAGAACACACTGCAATCAATTTTCACGTTCCATTACCTCTACCATCTCTACATCGACTGACATTTTGTCAACATCTTCTTCCTTAATAAATATTAGACTGCTCAATTAGTATTCTAGGTGGCCATTTGTCTCTAACTTGTATCATGCTGTTTGTCTCTGTTAGGGCTCTACCTTTCTGCACCCCTCCACATCTAGTTACCCACTGTCACAAGCCAGAGGAAGATTTTTGGGTTACCTTTTATGTTAATTGTCATTTCTTTCTCATATTTTTTCTTTGTCAGTCTTATTTTCCTCTTCACCATATTGTATTTGGCATGGCTTTCACTTTACAAGTTCATCAAATGTGCATCATTCATCCTTTTTTTATTGTTTCTTCTTTCTCTCCTGTGTCACCCAAGGAACTTGACTTCGGTTCTCTGACCTTTTGTCTTTGTTTGGCCCACCTCATTCCCTGTGCTAAGTACAGCATGTCACCCACTAAGTTAGACCAAAACACATTGGTCAAGGAACTTCTCCTTAACATATTTCAGAAATCCTTGACCCTCAACTCCTTTTACTTTAACAATAACCAAATTGATATTTGAGGAACTAAAGTTCATCAGTAGTACCGCTCCACATATATAGTTCTTGCACGTCCCCGTATTTTCCTACAGACTTGCGTCTCAATTTTTCTCTCTCACTGCTTAGAGAACAAAGAATATGATTATACCTTTCTTGCTTCTCAACTCTAACTAAATGAATTTTGTCTTTGTTTTCCCAAGATCATCCTCTCTTACCAATAGTACAATGTCTCCCTTAATTCAAACTGCAAACCCCAACTTCCCTTATTCCTTCTCTATCTTTTCTGAGCACTCAGTTCTTTTCCATAAAAGCAAAGAATTTCAGATGCTGGAGATTTAAAATAAAAGCAGAAAGTGCTGGAAAAACTCAACAGGTCTGGCAGCATCTGTAGAAAGAGAAACAAAGTTAACTTTTCAAGCCCAATGTGACACTTCTGCAGAACTTAAACTTTTATTTCTGTTCTTTGCCATGGTGTGATTGACATTGCATGAAAGAAGCTACAAGGGAACTAACAGCACAAAAGGCACTATGTGTGGACAGATTCTTCTCATACAGATTCTTTGTAGGGTACAGAAATGGTTATGGGAATGGACTAGCAAACCAAACATGGTATCTACAACCGCAGGAGGTGCTACACCTGCCCCCATACCTCCTCCCTCACCCCCATCCCAGGCCCCAAGAAGACTTTCCACATCAAGCAGATGTTCACCTGCACATCTGCCAATGTGGTATACTGCATCCGCTGTACCCGGTGTGGCTTCCTCTACATTGGGGAAACCAAGCGGAGGCTCGGGGACCGCTTTGCAGAACACCTAC